AGTGGTTCGTTAACCTGTGGGTTGTCTGAATTGAAAATGCATACTAGTCGCTTGGTTATTCAAAGCTTTGAGTGGATGCCTTGGGAATAAATGGCAAGGCCGAACATCAGGTTTCTATGGAGAAGTATTGGGGTCTTGGGAATAAATGTCAAGAACCAATACGTCGGGTAGTCATCGGTACCTTGGGGATAAATGTCAAGGACTGCTGCACAGTTCAAGGCCTTGGGGATAAATGGCAAGGTCGAACATCAAGCTTCTGTAGAGAAGTATTGGGGTCTTGGGAATAAATGTCAAGGGCCAATACGACTCGAAGAGTTAGACTCGGAGGACTAACGTGGAGTGGTGATTATGAGTAACAGTTCAAGACCTTGGGGGTAAATGGCAAGGTCGAACACCAAGCGTTGTAGAAGGAGGTCGGTATCTTGGGAATAAATGTCAAGAGTCATTACGCCTCGAAAAGTTAGACTTGGAGTACCAACATAGGGTGGGAGTGAGTGTTAGTTCAAGTGGGACAAAGGCTAGTGGGTCGTGTGGTTGGAGTCCCGAAATCTAGGCGTTGGGTTGCTTGTATGGAAATGTTAATCTATTATTATTATCCCATGCTGCCTATCTGTTTGTTCTGCTATTGTTTTCATTTGATGTGGTTGTGATTACGAGCGTGTTGTGGTGTTTAGTTAGGGTGGGCTACTTACGGAGTATTTTACGTACTCACCCCCCCTACCTTATTTGTTTCAGGTGTGAACAGGACCGACCGTGGTGATGATGTTGAGGAGGTCTGACTGAGGAGGAATCACTAGCTGTGTTGGTTAGGCTAGGGAATAATGTCGTGCATTGCAGACATCGTTAAAATCTTATTGTTATGAAATAAAAGGGGAATTAGACATTGGGTTAACTCAAATGACACTTTCTCTTATTACTTTATGGGTATTTTTACTATTCGAATTACTGATGTATTTTGGATTACGAGACAAAACGATTATTTTCTTTTGATTGGATTCCTGACCACTGAGGCGGGTATTATTTTCTGGATATTCCATTGTTGTGTACCTCCATTTTGTATGTTGCATTAAGAGAACATTACATTTTCGTTACCTTAAATAGGAGGGTTCAGTAAGCGTTATAGGACCGTTACTTTGTTAAACGTATCAGAAATTCGGGTCTTTACAGGGAGTGTTTCGAAACTAACATCCAATAATTGTAGCATTTAATTATCACCATACAACATTCAATGAATTCGGATTTTCATGTCATTCCAATTCTATATAAAGAACAAAGTCTATCACCTATCTTCCATTCTATTCTCAACCAAAGCATTCTTCTCTTACACCATATACATAAGAAATGTCTTACGAGGTTACTAGTGCAAGTAGAAGGTCAGAATCATAAGGGAAAAAACTGTACAAAAATACAATGAAGGTTGAGTTGGAAGATGAGAGGAGACAACATCGCAAGAACTGATAGCTGTTATACTCAGTGCAGTCTCACGGAGAAGAGATAGTTGGGTTAAGTATCTGGAAGTTCTTGTAGAGGAAGAGAGGGAACGGGCAGACAAGTGCGAGGAGGAGAAGCGAGAACTGCAGTATAGGGTTGCAATATTGGAGTCACGTTCTAGAGCATTGTGGGCATTGTCGTCGTAGGTTTGCTGGGATTCATTACATTTATATGTATTTTTCTTATTTTTAGGTTCACACATGTTCTTCACAGATGTTCGCTAATTGATTTCTAACCGTATAAAATCATATTGATATCTAGTCGAAAAACTTCAAACAAGACCAACAATTACATGGTTGTACAGTTATAATCAAACAAATAACTAATTTAAACAACAAAGTACTGCCTCGGTAAATTGTCTCGCTCTCACTCAATCTTGGTCTCGCTCAATCTCGCTCTCGCTATACCTTACTGCTCTCGCTCTCACTCTTGCAGTATTTCGCTCTTACTCTCAATCTCAAAGTATCTCGTTCTCGCTATCGTATATCTCGCTCTAGCTCTCCCTCTCGTAGCTCGATCTAGCTCTCGCTCACTTTAGCTGACTCTTCAATGCTTCGCACTCTCGCTCCTGCTCTGTTTCACGCACGACAAATTCAATCCTACTTTAGCATTTGGTCCCTGTCAACTTTCTCTCTCCATCTATTAAAAGTTCGAACGAACACGTTAGCAACCCAGGTATACTGAACAAATAACATCATATGAAACCCAACGCAGGACTATTGTTATAGACTACATTTCGAACAATCCTCCCGAATATCATAAAGGAGACTCTAAATCCAGGTAAGTGACCTAATCGTAAACGGAGAGGCAAGGAGAAATCTGCGAGGTGAGTTGAAAGGTACGGACAAATTGAAGTTCGAACGAAGTAGTGTGAGTGAGAGAAGATGGAAAAGAAGATTAAAGTTTGAAATTTCGTCTATTTGTATTACCCAAGGAAAGGGAGGGGCATAGACAATCATTAGGTAATCGGGTAATGTCAGCAAAAGATTAGAAAATATGGGTTTCGAGGGTCAAAAACCCTTTTTTTTTTTTGATTTTCAAATTATTATTCTAATAAAACAATTACGACATATTTAATCAGGGGCGGATTTAATATATTTTGATTCAAGAATGCAAAGAAGTTTGGACATACACCACCAGACAAAACACTGATATTTGTAACATTTGGTGAACTATAAAATATTTATTTAAAATTCAATCCGCCCCTGATTATAATTATTGTATTTTCTTTTTAGTTTAGAAAAAAATCTTCGAGGGCTTGAAAATTTTAATTAATTATGATTCTTAAATATATTATCATATTTATACTTTTCCTTTTGAAAACTTTGTGGAGAACCATAGATTTTTGGCCAATCGTAAACCGTCATTATTCAAAAAACTATATTTTATTTGTAGGCATTATAAATTATCCCTAAAAAAAATTGGAAATTTTGTCACATGCCTTTCACATACCAAATTTGGCTTGAAATCAATTTAATTCACAAAGTTATTGGACAATATTTTGGTTAGAAACTCAAATTACCATAAAATTATTAAGATGGGTTGATATTTAGATTTAAATAAATTTAAATCCATTAAAGAATTGAGATAGATCTAAAATCATTCCAATCAAAATCTTTTAATATTAAATCGAACTCATAATCCAATCAGAGTCCAATCCCATATCACTCGCACCACTTTGAAATTGGTCTTTGCAATAGAAGAAAGGGAAGCGGTGGTCAAACACGTCATGAACAAACGTTTTCCAAATGAAGAAAAAAGAAAGAAAAAGAAGAAGCGACACCATTTGGAATTTGGAACCCAAACCCGAACCCTGCCTGCAAGCGGCAGCAGTCTCCATTTGGAAGTTCGATGGAGGCGTCTGTGGCGGCGGTGGAGCGCTTGGTTTCGTACAGTTTCAAGAACAAGAAGCTGTTGGAGGATGCCCTCACCCACCCCTCTTACACCCACTCTCCCTCTTACCAGCGCCTCGAGTATATCGGCGATTCAGCCATTGGCCACGCCATCAACGATTACTTCTTTCTCGCTTATCCCGACCTCCATGAGGGCCAGATCTCTTCCCTTAAAGCTGCCAACGTCAGCACCGAGAAGCTTGCCCGCGTCGCTCTCCGCCATGGCCTCTACCACTTCCTCCGGCACAACGCCCCCGCTCTCGATCATCAGGTTCGTTGATTCCGCCACCCCTTCTCCCACTTGTTCCAATTATGACTGATTTCTGTTCTAATTAGGTTCGAGAGTTCGTCGATTCCGTCAGCCAAGAGGACGACTCGGTTCCCTATGGCGGATTGGTGCAGGCTCCTAAAGTTCTTGCTGACATTGTCGAATCTGTGGTTGGTGCTATCTATGTAGACATTGATCTTGATCTTAAGAGACTATGGGTGGTGGGTTCTTGGATTCATTTCGGGTATAAACATTACTACTTTACCAGCTGGGCACCAATAATTGGTTTGTTTTGTTTAATTTTTTTGTAGATTATTAGGGGTTTGTTAGAGCCAATTTACACCCCTGAGGACTTGCTGGTGGAACCCCAGCCGGTTACTGTGCTGTATGAAGTTTGCCAAAGGAATGGGATGCATGTTGACATGAAGAATTGGAGAAACGGTTCCAAAACTGTTTCTAGTGTCTATGTTGATGGTAGTTTTGTTGCCTCTGGTTCCTCCAAGCAGAAGCAAATTGCGAGGCTTGATGCTGCAAGAGAAGCTCTGAAAAAATTGTCAAAGTTTATGGATATAAGTAATAGAACTGCTATAACTATTGATGGTATTGATGAATCGTTTGAAATTGAAGGGGCAAAGCAAAAGTTACATGATTTTTGTTCCAAGAAGAAGTGGCAAAAACCAACATACAGGTATAAAAACAACTAAACATCTCATCTGCATCAACTTGTTTAAGGTTTCGTTTGATGATGATCTCGATCTTAGTTTTCTGTTTTTAAGGATTATGTCTGCTTCCTCTCACTTCCTTTGCTATGTCTTTTACCATTCTTATGAATGCATTTCAATTCGAGGCCAGATCCCTTTGCTATATTATAGTTTGTGGGTTTTTTTTCATTTGCAGTATTGAGCAAGATTTAGGGCCTTCACATGAAAAGAGATTTGTTTGCTCTGTTAAGATTGCCACTTCTTCTGGTGTGCTGTGTATGATTGGAGATGAGAAGTCAAGAGTAAGGGATGCTGAGAATTCTGCAGCCTCTTTGATGATTCGTGCTCTACAGGAAAGAAACTATTTCTAGTGCCTATTTATCGTACAGTCAGTTATGTTCTCTGCTATATCAAGTAACTGGATTACATACCAAAACTTCATCTCCTCTTTTGTTTATTTTGCTCATATGCCTGTTCTAAGAGGTACGTACGTATCTTGTGAATTGTTACACTATCTGCCTTTCTGGCTAAAATTTATTGTATCAATTCCATATCTATTGCATATAAAATTCTAACTAGTTTTGGCAACCATGAGTTTGAATTCTCTACCCCACCTCTACTAAAAAAATATTCTACCTCGGGTCAACTCCTTATTTGGCAAACATCACACTCTTATGATAATGGACAACAAGTCGGTAAGTTTGAGATCTATTTGATAACGTTTCCGTTTCATGTTTTTTGTTTCCTAAAAAATAGAATTGCATGGCTTCCAAAATTCATGATAAAACAAAACTTTTATTTACGTTGGAACAAATTGGAAACGATAGATAACAAGAAACTTGTTTTTTTGTTTCAAAATTTTTATACAATTTTGAGAATTTTTTTAGAAAATGAGAAATAAAAAACATAAATAGAAATTTCTTTCTAAATTTTCTTTTTAAAAAAAAATTAAAGGAAAAATGTTATCAAATGGGTTTTTAGAGATCGGCTTTTGTAGTGACCCATAATTATACGGACTTTTGTTGTGACTCATAATTATATCAGCAAGCGACCCCCAAATAAAATAGAAAAAATTATATTTTATTATATTTGTTTATAAATCCTAGCTAGTTTTGTCCACATGGCATTGATTATGAGTTCCAATTCCTCTTCCTATTTGTACTACAAGAAAAAGTTTCTAGCTCATGTGAACTTATTTGGCACACATCATCTCACAGTGATGATCATGACCAACAAGTCTTGTGGAGTAAATTTAAAGTCAGATATGTTCCCGTTTCTTTTCCAAAATTTTTGTACAATTTTGACAATGTTTTTAAAAAATAAAAAATGAAAAACATAAGTAGACATAAAATGATTAGATATTTTAATAAAATTGTAAACAAGAAACGTTATTTGTAGTGATTCTTGATATACCTAATTATATCAGCAAAGCGACCCCAAATGAAATAGAAATTTTTTATATTTTGTTATATGAGATTACAAATTTGAGTGTAGCTTTAAGACATTAAATTATGAGGTATATTGAACCATAGGGTTAGGAATTTGGATAGGAAGGTCTGAATTACAAGGAAGAGGATAGACAAGTAGTATTCCAGCACCAGACAGGTCTAGAATTGATGATGAATGTAATTATTTTTTTATGATCCGGATACCACACAGATCATGGTAACTTTCCTTTAAAGGAAAGGTCTTAGTGCAGAAGGATGCTTCTGATCCGGTCTTCAGATTTCCAAAGGAATTTTGATTGCTTTTCTAATGATCCAAGTGAAATAAGTTTTTGTTAATTATCTTTCTTCAACTACAAATTATTCCTCTTTCTACATTGCTGAGCACAACATTTTGGAAGCATGATTCGAGCACTTTTCTAGCTTTTCTGAACTTTCAGCAGCTTCCTTAATTTTGTCTTCCATATTTCTCATTCGTTTGGGAGTTGAGGCAGCCTAGCTCTTTAGGTGGATTTGTTATGGTTCTCTCTTCTCCAAGAATTAGAAACAAGAACCAACAATATTAAATTACACCTTCTCTTTTTAAGATAAGAAACGGTAAGGTATCACCTTACTGATTGATATTCAAACGCGAGAAATACGTCCCACGGACATACAGATGGCGTGCCTTCAAGGTGGAAATGAGGGAATTGTTGACGAATAGTGACAATGGTCTCCCATGTAGCTTCATGTTCGAGCAGGTCCTTCCATTGAATTAGCAGTTCCCAATCATCCCCATTAGGGCTTTTACGAATAGCCATGACATCCAGCGGTTCTGCAACCCATTCGAAGTTGTCGACAGGTTGGACCTCAGTGTCGGGCCCCACGGCTTTCTTTAACTGGGACAGATGAAATACCGGGTGGAGAGTAGCCTCGAAGGGTAGGTCAAGTTTGTATGAAATCGGTCCGACCCGAGACAAAATGGTGTATGGCCCACAATATTTGGGGGTCAGTTTCTCACAGCAGCGTTTGGCAAGGGAGTGTTTGTTGGGTTTTGGCAAAATATTGGAATTGAAGTTGTCCCACATTGGAAGAATACAAGGATGGTCTCCATGTGCTAGAAGTTGTCCCACATCGGAAAAGTACAAAGAGAAGATGTGTTCCAACTACTATAAAAGGAGTTCATGGGCTTGGGTTTTAATCATCCCAATTGAAATACTTTAAGCCTGATGTACTAGCTCTAGTTAACTGAGCGGTATCTGCTTTGAAAGAGTGTTTTGTGTAATTGGGGTCGGGGAGAGAAATCTGTGTGATTGTAATAATTTTTCACATAGTGGATTTTTCCTTGTGGGCCGTGGTTTTTTCTCCGATTTGGAGTTTTTCAAATCCCCTACAAGTGGTATCAAAGCTTTAGGTTTGTAGTTTCTAGAATTTCTGAGTATGCAGATTTCTTGAAACGAGTTACGGTTCTGTGAATAGTGTGGCTTGTTCACTGTTTGCAGATTTGCTAGGAGTGTGAAGCAGATATGTCATTCTTTATGAGTCCAGTGAAGATTGACGTGGAGAAATTTGACGGAAGGATAAACTTTGGCTTGTGGCAAGTGCAAGTCAAGGATGTGCTGATACAATCTGGGTTACACAATGCGTTGAAGGGAAGACCGAGTGAAGGTGCTTCTGAAAAGCTAAGCGGTGATGGTGGTCCAATGGAGTCCACTGGTGGTTCCAGCAGAGGTTCTAAGAAGTCTAGCATGAGTGATGAAGATTGGGAGGAAATGGATTTGAGAGCTGCAAGCGCGATACGAACAGGTTTGGCTAAGAATATTCTTGCGAATGTGCATGGAATTTCGACAGCCAAAGAGCTTTGGGAGAAGCTCGAAGCGTTGTATCAGGCAAAGGGCATCTCAAATCGGCTGTACCTGAAGGAGCAGTTTCACACACTACGAATGGAGGAAGGTACGAAAATTTCAGATCATCTGAGTAATCTCAATAGCATCATCTTTAATCTGGAGGCGATCGAAGTGAAGATAGATGACGAAGATAAAGCACTCAGGCTCATCTTATCACTTCCACCTTGTTATGAACACACATGAAGCCAATCTTGATGTATGGGAAGAATACTTTGAATTTTGCCGAGGTTACTAGTAAACTCTTGTCAGAGGAAAAAAGGTTGAAGAGTGAAGGGCGTACTTCACATGAAGATTCAGCACTGGTAGCTAGCAATTGGAAGAAGAAGAAAGACTCAGTACAAAAGAAAGCTTGTTGCTGGGATGCGGACAGTCTGGACACATGAAGAAAGATTGTCCCAACAGAGCCGGTTCGTCAAAAGGCTTTGGGCGGGATGCTGACAATGTTTCTCTCATCAGGGGAGACGATGATCAGTTCCTTTGAAGAGAGAGATAATTCATCCTCATGGTATGTCCGTTTTACCATGATAGAGGATGTGATGTTACCGGTTCCACAAGTTTACACATGGACATTGACTTGGCAGTTATGCAAGGTGTGTGTGGTGGAAGTTATGTTAATGGCTGAAGAACTTCTAAGTGAGCCAAGTAGGTGGAAGTTGCACCATAAATCTCAGCAGAATTTATCGACATGTGACGAGGAAGAAAAATCTTGGAAGGCTACATTCCAAGTGACCTACTTTTATGGTGAAGTAGGCTATAGTTCTCTGAATTGAGAATTATGATTGTCGGTGAAGACAATGAGTGCAGTAGAAGCTGTAAAATTTTTTCAATATCTTGCCAAGGTGGAATTTGTTGGGTTTTGGCAAAATATTTGAATTGAAGTTGTCCCACATTGGAAGAATACAAGGATGATCTCCATGTGCTAGAAGTTGTCCCACATCGGAAAAGTACAAAGAGGAGATGTGTTCCAACTACTATAAAAGGAGTTCATGGGCTTGGGTTTTAATCATCCCAATTGAAATACTTTAAGCCTGATATACTAGCTCTAGTTAACTGAGCGATATTTGCTTTGAAAGAGTGTTTTGTGTAATTAGGGTCGGGGAGAGAAATCTGTGTGATTGTAATAATTTTTCACATAGTGGATTTTTCCTTGTGGGCTATGGTTTTTTCTCTGGTTTGGAGTTTTTCCACGTTAATTCTTGTGTTTCTTTATTTTATTGCTTTCTTTAAATTTCTCAGTCTTTAAATTTCTCAGTTATTTTCTGCTTATTCCTGCGATAGAAGTAGGGGATTTTTCCCAACAGTGTTGTCAATAGGGACGACTTTTGAGGTACACCTGATCCCCTTCCCTGAACTCTACATTGGTGTGGCGATAGACATCAAATTTTTTCATTCGATTTTGGGCATTAGATAAGTGTGCCTTGAAGATCGTAAGAGCATGGTCTCGCTCGGCCAACTGTTGGTCCAGGGTGGCATTTGAAGTTTGTTGCTCGCCATATGAGATCAATGGCGGTGGTGGTTGTCGACTGTAGACCACGTTGAATGGGGTGGCGTTGATGGACACATGATAGGTGGTGTTATACCAATACTCCGCTCAAGCTAGCCAATGGCCCCACTATTTCGGTCTTTCCGAGCAAAAACTCGTAAGTACGTCTCAACGCACTTGTTAACAATTTCCGTCTAGCCGTCGATTTGGGAGTGGTAACCCATAATGCAGTTTATGTTGGTTTTACAAGCTTCAATTATATCATATGTTTTGATGATAACAAACTTAATATACTGATGATTTTAGTATTTCAAAGCATCCATAACGTAGAGCATAACAAGACAAATCCAACGCAATTTGAATGGCTCAAATCGGAGTTTAAATGGAGAAATTATGATCGAAACAAGTCGAACGAAAAATTCCCGAGAGGATGACGTGGATGAATCATATACTCACACCTGGAGAGTTGAATTATTCAAAAGAAAAAAAAAAGAGAAAATTGAAAAAAAAGGGAAAACAAAAACTTTTTTTTAAAAAAAAAAGAAAAAGTTATCGTAGTAAAATAAAATTAAACTAACCGTTACATATAATATATATATATATATATAATGTTATAATATATTATTATTATTATATATTAATATTATAATATAATGTAATCAATCTTCATCCATCATCTTCCATCATTATCATCCAAGGGTCCAAATTTGATTTTAATTTCAAATTACTTTTTCACAACTTTCCTCTCCTATTTAAACTCCTCTCCTCCCCATT